CCACCCCTCCCCCCGCCCCTCCCCCCACCCTCAAAAATAAATGATTTACCAAAAATTGAGTGTTTGGGTCTTTGTGAGATGAGTTTTGGCAACAACAACCCCCAGATTTGGCACAACCAAGAGCCCAGATTTGGCACCAAAACCCACCAGATTTGGCACAACCAAGAGCCCATTTTTGGCACCAACAACCCCCAGATTTGGCACAACCAAGAGCCCAGCTTTGGCACAACCAAGAGCCCAGCTTTGGCACGGGTGGTTCCCCGGTGCCCGATTTATTCCCCGGTGGTTTCACCGCACAGGTTCTCCCACCGCTCGGCGTCGGTGATGTCGGGGCTGTACCGGGAGTTCCAATCCCGTTCAAACACCTCCTGTAGTTGTCCCCGGATGGTGTCGGTGATGTCACCGGTGACGTTACCGGTACCCGTTGGCTTCACCACCCCGCTCACCACCAAGGCCGATCCCGCCGTCCGCGTGAAATAGTCACCGGACCAGTTGGATGTTCCTACAGAAGAGATTTGGGGGGTGGAAGGGGGCTGTACCGGGAGTTCCAATCCCGTTCAAACACCTCCTGTAGTTGTCCCCGGATGGTGTCGGTGATGTCACCGGTGACGTTACCGGTACCCGTTGGCTTCACCACCCCGCTCACCACCAAGGCCGATCCCGCCGTCCGCGTGAAATAGTCACCGGACCAGTTGGATGTTCCTACAGAAGAGATTTGGGGGGTGGAAGGGGGAGAAGAACCAGCCTCCTCCTCCTCCCATGGCACCGTCATGGCGGCGGTGCCGGCGCTGGTGCTCACCGATATACGCTGTCTTCTCCGTCACCATGTACTTGTTGTGGTTCACCCGGGCGTAGGGGATCCGGGACTGCGCCGCCGTCGTCGGGACCATGAAGAGGCGCTGAGAAGAGGAGGGGAAGCGTCAACTGGTGGAGGTCAACTGGTGGATGTCAACCATTGACCATCAACATCAACCACTGAACATCAACTGTTGGACATCAGCCATTGAACATCAACCGTTGAATGTCAACTGTTGAACATCAACCATTGAATGTCAACTGTTGAAGGTCAACCATTGAAACTTCAACCATTGAACATCAACCAATGAATGTCAACTGGTGGACATCAACCATTGAATCATCAACCATTGAAACATCAACTGTTGAAGATCAACCATTGAATGTCAACTGCTGAACGTCAACCATTGACCATCAACCATTGAACATCAACTGCTGAACATCAACCATTGAACACCAACCATTGAACATCAACTGGTGGACGTCAACCATTGAAACTTCAACCATTGAGCATCAACCATTGAACATCAACTGTTGAACATCAACCATTGAAACTTCAACCATTGAATGTCAACTGTTGAACATCGACCATTGACCATCAACTGTTGAACATCAACTGTTGACCATCAACCAATGACCATCAACCACTGAACCATCAACTGTTGAATCATCAACCATTGACCATCAACCATTGAACCTCAACCACTGACCATCAGCCACCGGCCCGGCGTGGCCATCTCGCCGCGGTACCCACCACCTCCACGCTGTAACGAGTCCGGTTATCGGCGACGGCGGCGAGGGACTTGAGGAAGGGGAACATGGTGGCTTTGCTGTGTGACCAACAACCCACCAACAACCTAACGTTGACCCGGCGTTCCACGGCGGCTCTTCGTAACCGGTTATCGATCGCCGGCCAGAACCTACAGAGGGAGGAGAAGGTTTGGTGTGACCAGTGTCACCAAATCATGGTGGTGGCTTCTAATGGGGGGTTGTAGAAACCTCTGAGGGTGGGAGAATTCGGTGGTGGGTAAATAACTCATGACGGCGATGTCCACGAACTCTTCGGCGGCGTCGATGACGTTGAGAAGAGCATCAAGATCTTGAGTTCGACCAGTTGGACAAAGAACCGGTGGAGAACTCTACCCCAAAAACCACCAAGAGATCCATCAAACACCAACAAAGAAACCAGGAGGAGGTTAAAAAGACCAACCTCAACCATGATGGATTGAGAACCTACCGAGAAGAAGACAGCGGCGTCGGTGTCGTTGAGTTTCAACTCCAAAGGTGTCTCCATGTTGAAGGTGGTGGAATAATTTCCAGGCCATGGGACTGGGATGGTGGCACCAGGAACACCAAGAACCCAATAAGCTTCAAAGATCTTACCTAAATCTTTGGCCAAACAACTGCAGTTGTAGACGGCGGCGCCGAGTTCCTTCACCTACGGTCAACGGTACGGTGACGCCAGATGGTGCCACCAACCTTCTCCAGCACCCTAAAGTCTCATCTCATGGTGTTGGCCAACCCTTGAT